TTTCAGCCGCCCCAGTCCTCCTCCTCCTTCCTCCCCACAGTTCTATCAACAGGAAATTCCCAAAGCCTGCAGCAGTGGGCCAGAGAGCCAATCTCTAGTCCCCATCAGAACCCAAATGTAGGAAAACCCTGTAGAATTTAACAGGAAGAAATTAAGAAGCAAGTTGCTAACAATGGTGGTCATGCAAACCATTGGGACAAGTTATGATTTATTCTCTTTGTAAATGTATACTCTTCTCCTCTTTACTTCTTGAACACACTCTCAAGCGTCTCCAGAACAAAAATGCACAAAGCCACCAGGAGCTCAAACTGTTTAAACTCGTCTTGTAGAAATGCATATGGTTTCCTTGAAAATGCCAAGTTCATGGATAAAAATAGAACTTCTCTCACAAGATTCTGTTTTAGAGCAAACAGATGACTGGCATTGTTATAGGCAGCTGAGTTAATTAGAAATATTATAGGCAGTCAGACAGGGTTGGGCCCTCTAAGGAGCCAGTGCAGAAGACCAAGTATCTTGCAAAGTTGGAGGAGAGACACCTCCTGCTGTGGGCCAGACCTCAAGACAAAAGATCAAACAAATGCACCCACATCCTAAGGACTGATATTCTAAATGGGTCTCTATCACCCTGAGGAAACCAAGAGTCACTAACTCAACCCCCTACAGCCAAAGGTCCTGTTCTGTATTCATGACCACTTGCTAAGTAACTGTCTCCCCATTTGATCCCAATTTAATCAATTTCACCTGAGTAGTGACACTGGCAATTGTATTAGCCGTCATAGTTCTGTCCCACCTCATGCCCGCCTGCCTTGTGACTTCCCATTTTTCCCCACTTTGGACCTGCCTCACCTCATAGTTTTGCTCTACAAAATCCCAAAAGAAGGCTGGGTCCTTGGCAACCCACTTGGGATCCCTCTGTCTCTCTTGGACAGAAGTTTTCTTTCTCTCAGTAACCTGCTCTTAACCTCCATTGTTCCTAAAATTCATTCCTTGATTGCAGAGAACATGAACTCATACTGGACATCTGATAGGCTGAGCATTTCTTTCCCCTCTATCTTATATGAATCAGATGATCAGATGCACTCTTCTGGAAGTTTAGACACATGGAATTGAAAATGCAACTTGCGGGCCTCTTAAAACAGAAACTGGAAACACAGACAAGTGGTATCTGTTGGCTGATTCCCACCCCCCCAACGGAGCCTCAGAAGTGACTGCTCGGCCACACAGCCAGATGAACCAGCTGCATTCCCCAGGCGCTGTGCAACACGGACCTGGAACCAGGCCCTCCTTTCACGGGGAGATCACCGAGCAGATTGCGCTGCAGGCAGAAGTGAATCCAGCCTGCACAAATGTGCTGACTGTAAGACTCAAAAATAATAGCTCTGGCTAAATTACAACAATGGCTACCACGGATATCACTTATTAGTGGTTTATTACCAGATGATTTTTATACATTATCTAATTTAATGCCCGTAGCCGCCAGGGAGGCTGTTCTTATCACCATTTTATTGAAAAAGACATAGAAGCTCAGAGAAAGTAACTTACCTCAGGTGGCATCACATAGCAATGACAGGTCTAGAATTATGGCACAAAGCTAGGAGACACCTAAGTATCTGCTTCTAAATGTTATGCTGATAACATAGAATGTGTTCAAACAAGAACAGGTTGCACAGCACCCACGCCGCAGCTAACGACAGTGGTGTGTTGCCAAGAATGGAGGGAGATGGGATTCTGTGCAGTGAACCGTGGCTTCTGCAGACAGCACTAGGACCCCTGCCTTGGTGTCCTCCAGCCTGAGCCGGGCTGGCTTTACCTCTGACAGCGTGAAATGAAAGTTGAGATGGACAGAGGACTTGGCCTGCATGGCAGTGAGGCCACCCTGAGCTTTGTCTGGGCCACTGCCAGAGCAGAATAGAAGGTGACCAGATCAGTACCTCACCCAGGGGAGGCCACGCTCTTGATGGCCCCTGGACATCACTAGGACAACACAAGCCCTGGGGAATATTTGGGCTTCTGTACAATGGCACTTGCAGATGTGGGATGAAGGGCACTGTAATCACACCGCAGTAGTCAGCCTTCCTGTCGCTGCTCCTGGGGATAATACAGGCCCAGCACTCGTTGCTTTAAGGATTAGAGGGTTGACATGGGCCAAGGTTTCTGGGGTTCAGTCCATAGCTGACTCGGGGCAGGAGCATCATTGTAGAAGGATGAGGAGAAGCGAGGCTTGCTTCATTCATATTTAAAAAGTGCCTCAATAGGCCTAAAATCCCTACTCCATTGATTTGGAGTAAATAGCTCAAAAATCACATTGTAAAAAGTTTGAGATGGAAACTGGGCAGCTTGCATTAAGTTATAAAATCCATACAACTCTGATGCTCACACATACTTTCCTTTTGGGGTTATTTTTCCCTGTTTTTTTGTTTTATTTTGCTTTATTTTTCTTTGTTTTGTATCCTGAGCTGGAGATTTCCTATGCTGCCCAGGCTGGTTTTGAACTCCTGGCCTCAAGTGATCCTCCCACCTGAGCCTCAGGTTTTTTATGATGAGTGAAAGCTCTGTAGACTTATTCAGAATATGAAAATCATGTGTTAAGTGACTAAAATGTGGTCACAAATAAGCATCGGTTAAATATCTACTGCAGAAGATGCCCAACCAGCGCTCATTAGGACCTGAGGCTAATTAGCTTGTGTGCCTGCCACACAGTGCCAACGAGGGAGAGTCCCAAATGTCATTCTGCCCAAGTCGCAGAGAATCTGAGCCAACCACGAGTGTTCATGTGACAAGAAGTGTGTGTGTGTGTGTGTGTGTGTGTGTGTGTGTGTGTGTGTGTAGATAGCTTAGCACCATCCCAGCGAGGGAGCGGCCACTCTGGCCACTCCAAGGGCGTGCTGTATTGTCTTCACAAACAGGGGTAACAGAAACGCCAGAAACGCAACAGCAGCAGCCAGGGGCAGACAGGCACACCTGTGGTCCCAGCTACTTGGGAGGCTGAGGCAGGAAGAATGGGTGAGCCTTCAATTTTAGCCAGCCTTGGCAACATGGCAAGGCCCCATCTCTTCAAAAATAAAAAACAGCTGACCAAGCCAACAGAAGAACTGAGACAATACTGTTAAAAAAGATAGAAAAACCTAGAATTTTAATGTTAACTCTTGAAGATTATCAATCTATCATTTATATCTGTGTATGGTCAGTATCTATTTATATGCCTACCTTTATCTCTGTAGCTGTCATCTATATTTTTGTATCATCTGTATTTATCTTTATCTACATATCTATCTACCATTTATATTTATGTTTTATCTGTATACCTATTTATCTGTCTATCCTCTAGCTAATATACTTATCCATCTTATCTATCTAGGATATCTATCCATCTTGTCTATCATCTATCTAGTATATGTATCCATTCTGTCTATCTATATCTATCTAGCATATCTGGATACCCTGTCTGCCTGCCTGTTTTATCATCCACCCAGCTAACTCTCTAATCCAAACCCCACACATGAACTCTCTGGCCAAACCAAACAAAACCTAACGAAACACATATATCTGTGCAGTACATGTTAAACTCCATGTATCTATGCACAGGAGAGAAGGGTGTCAGAGGAAAATCCATTCCTGATTCTAACAAGTGAACACCCATTAGCCTGTGCTAATCTCCCGAACCACAGAGCACTGTCCTATCAGCAAGAGACACAGGGTGGGGTTCAGCATGCAGGTTCCCCAGCTCCTGGGTGACTTTTATTCTGCGGCTGTGCAACTGGACAGATCACCCCGAAAGAAGAGAGAGCTACTGTGTAACACAGTGACTAGAGTTAGCAACCGTGTTTATGTTCTTGAAAATTGCTAAGCAGATTTTGAATGTTTTCTTCACACATGAAAACATAAATAACATAGAATAACGCATGTTTCTTTGGCTAAATGCAGTCATCCTGGAATGACGACATAGTTCAAAACATGTTACACATGACAAATACATACACATTTTCTTTCAATGAAAATAAATATTTAAAGATTTTTTAAAAATATCAAACAGCGCCCAGGGATAGGGTTTAGCCCCCCAGTGAGATGAGTGATCTCACTACCTTTTAGCAGATAAGGTCAGAAGGGTCAGTCACCTGAGCTTTTCATGCAGTGTGATAGCTGCTATCCCTTTCTCCTTGGCTTGCAATTTTATCATGCTGTACACCTAAGAATATGGTTTCTGATACCGTCTTTGTCTGCTCCAGACAGTCTCTTCTTCAGGGTTTTGATTTCCTTGTATTGTTTTCCTGTAGAAATTGCATATAAAACTAATTTGCTTAATTCCCTTCCTATGCTAGGTAATATGATTTTTTGTTTATTTATTGTCTTACTTTTTTTGGACAGGAATACTTCCTGTCACTGAATGCAACGGAAGGTTCTGGTAAAGTCATCTTCGTGGTTTTTAAGCTAAACACAGTGCAACCTGAATTTTCAGAATTCCCATTCACACTGAGTATGGTCACTGCTCTGCAGAGAAGCAGTTATAAGAGGTTTGGTTTACAATTTACCTCTCTGTCAGGGATAGTTAGTTTTAATTTAATTTAACTTTTTAAAGTTAAAAGTGTCTAAACTGAATTTTCTATTGAATACTTAACTGAAAAGACTAGATTATTTTAAAGAACATGGAACATGAAGAGAATTTTCACATAATGGGCAAAAGAAAAATAAAATCCACTGCTGTTCTCATGGGAAATGGCTCTTCTTTCTAATCACATCATTGAAGTGATCAGAGTAAAAAGGTTCTTTCTAAATAATTATCATTTAATGCCTAGGAAATTAGTTAGCATTTTAACTTTTGTAGAAATCACAGTAGTATTAATTAATTAGTTTCTTCATTAATCTAGCTATTTTTCAAGGAGAAATAAAAAGCATACTAAAGCAAATGTACTTATTATGAAGAAATTATATATTATTTAAATTAAACTCAAGGTTTTAACAGAAAAGCCAGCGGCAGAGTAGCATATCAACCTTGGCCTTACCCTTTAATTTCAAGGCTTCTAATACCTTTGAATCAGCTGTCACATCACTCACTAGCTTGATTTCAATATTTTGTGATGTCAGTTGGAGTAACTTTTCAAAAAGACGTTGACCCTGGGGGGAAAATATTCAAAGATAAAGAAAGTCAGAAAACACAAATGTTTGCTGTTTTAGAAGGAATATGTTAGCTCATTAAAAATTAAAACCACTCATTCAATTTATAAAAGGCAAGACTTTACCCTCTAACAATTAGTGTTCACAGATTTATGAAATTCTTTCAAAAGAGTTTACACGAATAGAGTAGAAGCACAACAGACATTACATTGTCTTCGTGAGTGCTGTGTGATTCAGGAGTCTTTGTGATAATAGTTTCAGGGGAACAGTGCGAACCTGGCCTTCTTTAGCTCTTGAAATCTGTGGGTTATCTACCCACAAAGAGGCAACAGAAAATACTAAATAGCTTTATTTTGATCCTGAAAGATCTAGATTCTAGCTGATTTTCCAGGTTGCAAATTATGTTTCTTAATCTCATTCACCTCAAGTTTCTGTCTCTAAAAAATAGAGATGATACTATTTACTTTAAAAGGTTTTATGAGAATGAAGGACTTAGTTATAAACATCTTTTACCTGTTAGCTACCACAGGGGGAATGATGGATAATAATCATAGGTAATCATCACTGATTTACCTGAATTCATTCTCATTTCAAAGTTATTTTTCTGAATTCAACTCATGTTCTGGCTAAAAATAATTGAAATAACAAAATAAAAATGAAGCTTTTCCTTATAAAATTTCACACGCATAAACATTTTATAATAAGTTTCACTCTCAGGGAGAATTAATAATGGTAGCTCTGCACACATTACCTTATCTCCGGGAAGGGACTACAATATTACCCTACTTAATTTCCCGCCTGTGCTTTTATCGAGTTCCTCTCTTTATCATAAAAGGGAAATGGCCTTCCTCCATTGATTTTTTTTCAGGTTTTTTTTTTTGGCTATTGGACCATAAGCATAAACACATTCAAGGACCAGATGGAAGTTGGATCTTAATGACTCACACAAGACAAACCTTTAACTTACTTTGATAAAAATGGTTTGCTGATAATGATTATTTATGGAGGATTAGTTGATTAGGACGACAGGATGAAGGAAATGTGGATGCAAGCAGTGAGTCCTGCAACTCAGCCCTAAAGCTCCAGGACATCAGGAGGGCGGAGCCCCTGTGCCAAAGCCCATGCACCTGGGGTGCCAGAGGACAGAGCTGGAGCTGTACCCCAGGCCACACATCGTGTCGGCAGAAACTGAGACGGCCCCAAGTGGGGCTCATCACAGGCAACCACATTACCCTGCACCCCACAGCCTGGACACAGCCTCACTCCAAACGGGGTATTCTCCCGTGGGAGTGCACCTGACAGTTACACACACACACACACACACACACACACACACACACACACGCCTTTCCCAAGAGGCAGGAGTGAGGAGGGGGAAGGAAGGCGGAGAGACACAGAGAAAGGACAGCAAAGACAAGGCAGCAGCCGGTTGGTGATGTCAGTGTCAGTGTGAGTTTACCGTGAGTAGAGAGAGGAGAGGGCTTGGGGAGTGAGAGCCCTGGGTTCCTGTGCTTTGGGGCTCTGAGGCTCTCTGGGCTCCACAGCCTTGCAGCCCTGCTAGTCAGCTCTGGCTCCCTCCCAGCAGTTCACCTCGCTCCTGTCACGTTACTTAGGCCGCTGTCTGCAGGGGCCAGACAACACAGATGCATAGGAGCAACACAGATGCACAGATGCATTTCTCCTGCTCACACAGAGACTTGGTGTTTCTGGGGAGACCTAGTGGGCCCACATTTTCAAACAAATTCACTTGCTCTTATGTGCTGACCACTTATCAAAGAAATCTTTAAAAATTCAATCATCATGCTCACTGTAATGAACTTGGGCTTGGTGGAACTCCTGTGCTGGGGCTCGAGGTGAAACTCTATTAAATCTCCCATCTTCAGTCTGTCATCTCTCCGTCAGTCATTTTCGCTACAACGTTCAGAATGTAATAACTTCCAAAGGCATTAAACACTGCTCCACACAGATCTGCAAGAAGCTTTAGTGCTTTGAGCGTTAAGCTCACTTATCACTTTTTAATAAAGGAATAGCAAAAGCCCTTTAGCTTTTAAAACACCAGCCATTTAAAATCTTGCCCTTTTTTGGTGAAAAACATAGGCCAACATCTCAAGTTTAAATAAATCATCTCAAAGACAGTGGCTCCGGCATGCTGACCTACTTTAAGTCAAATTTTTATGAACCTGCAACAACTTTATGATGTACAGTCTGCCCCGGGGAGGAAGCTATACCCCGAGGATAGAGACCCAGCTCCGGTCTTTGGTGACTTCACAGAGTCTGCCTAACGTAGGAGACCTGTGCGAGCCAGGTAGGGAACGAACCTTTTCCTCTACCTGAGTGAACCTCCCAGTTCACTGGCTGTTCCCATGAATCAGACGATAAAAGACAGACTGACAAGAGAACAACATGAAATTCAAATGATGTGCACACAAACATGTGCATGAAAGGGAGACTAGAGAGAAATGAGATGCAGGGAAGTGACCATATGACAGAGGCATCTTGCCATCTAAGACTGAGCAGTAAAAAGGACTGCCAGGCCTCTAGGCAAGCGGGGGAAAGACCAACATCTAAGAAAAGTTGACAGCACATCTGAAGACAGAGCACAGAGAGGTCAGAGAAGCACATTGCATAAAATAAGTGACAAAGAAATTCCTGTACTGTCTGGCCACCAGAAACAGAAAGCATCAAGAGAGACAGACTTGAGCTAACATTAGGATGCTCCATCGTGGACTAAGACTCGAGCTTGAGAAAACCTAGGCTTTCACCCACTAGAGGGACAGAAAAAAGTCTTTATAGATATACAAAGATTTTGAGACTACAGGGCTTTCGTACCCTATAAAAGGACCAGATGGAAAGAAAGACTAACCAGGTCATAAGTATTAACACCATCAAAGAGGGAGGCAGGGAGAAAAAAATGCATGATGAGAAATGTACAGTTAAGTGTTTGACACACTTGCTGAAAAAGGAGTCTTAAAAGGCACATGGTACAGGAGAACATCTACCAGGAATGTACTCCGGGCATCCCCAGGGCCTCGACGTCTTAGTGTTCCAAAGGGGCTGAGAACTGGCTCTCGAGTGGGTGAGAGAATCTTACTCTTTTTCATATTGAAACATAGCTTTACACGTAACACACACAGTGTACCTGTTGTATTAAAAGAAAAGATTAAGAAAAATATCCAGGCCTTAAAAGTCTCCTAAGTAATGTGATAATGAAAAAGCTTGAGGGACACTTACTAGAACCAATAAGATAAATAAGATAAATGATTTCACTGGAAAGATCAAGGGAAGACTTAAAAGCAGGAGCTAGGAAAAGTGGACTTATTACACAGTAATGCAACTTACAGAGCCATGACACTGATGAACTGGTAAGCTTCAAATGGAGGGGCAGCTAATATAGAAAGCAAATATTAACAGAAACGCAGTGAAAACTGTACCACAGGACAGACACAGTGGTACACACATGTAATCTCAGCACTCTGCAAAGCTGAGGCATGAAGATCACAAATTAAACCCTTCTCAGACAATTCATAGATTTAGCAAAATTGAAGATAAATAAATAGGGCTGAGAATGTAACTCAGTGCAAAGGATCTGGGTCCAATTTCCAGTACTTAAAAAAAAAAAGGAAGGACAGAAAAGAAAAGAGTATTGTAGTATATTACTCCTTCAAACTGGACAGATCCAAAAGAAAATAAATTAAGATATATAAAAAGTAAATACACTATCATTAAAATTGACTGTGTATATGTTTTTATACTTCTCATTCTATATATTAAACCTGCACAGGACAATGTTTAAGAAACATTTGGAAAAGCATGTCCTGTAACTGTTATAAATAAGCCTGAATGAGTTACCACATAGTCTTTATACTTCATTCTCTGCTCAGATCTGACAAAAATGAGAAACAGACTTTAACAAGTAACTCGTAAATAAATCTGACCTACTTGTAAATTGAACAACTTAGTCTTAAGATTATCCTAACACGTAGTGAGAAAAGAATAAATGTATATATTCCCTAGAAAGCTATGAAAAGAATAAATGCACGTATTCTCTAGAAAGCTATGAATAGGTAAACATTTCACAGTAAATCCATGAAATGAAACAATGTCTGCTGTCAGAGAGAAGTTGATAACCATAAATGTCTATAATAGTTTGAAAGTAAATATTATGGACAGATAAATACGAAAATTTAATACAGGATCCCAAAATGCTATGCACAAGATTTTTTTATCAGTAACAAAGATGATTATGATTAGATCAATTTTGCATGTCTATATCTGGTAATCTAAGCAACATGTTTGAACATAACTATGCAGAGTAACAATCACTGTTACATTCCTGTCATCTTGTTTTGATAGCCTCTATTGTTTTTATTTTGGGCTTTTTGTTGCTGGTGTTTGTCTCTTTTCCTTCTTGTTTTTCTTGAAGCAAGCCCTCCCTGTGAACCAGTGCCATGCATGGGCTGCCAGCAGCCCAGACCCAAGCTCCTGCTTCATAAGAAACCCACCCCACCCATAAGAAACCGCCAATCTGGAGAAACACAGGCAGCGATGAGAGCTATTCAGGTGAAATGCAATTTGATGCTTGTGGTGTTTGGTGTTTCACTGACTTTGCAGGTCTAGGGCTGGTGGTCTGATCATCTACTGTGTATTGTGTATTGTTATCCTCACAATACACAATGTAGTATCATGGGGATCTCCTTCTGAAGGTGATAGCCATTGTTGATTCCCTATCATCTTGTATTGAAGCCCTGTATCATTTTCATTGTTTCGTTGGGTTGGGTTTTATTGTTTTGTTTTGTTTGACTTTGTTATATCCGATGGCATGGGTAGCTATTTCAAAGATAGCAAGATACATTATGTTACCAATTTTGGACTTACTATTGTCTTGTTTTGAAATCCTTTATTGCATTCATTGTTTTGTTTTTATTGGTTTTATTCTGTTTTGTTTTGTTTGATTTTTACTATGTCTGAACGTACAGGCAGCTATTTTGAAGATAACAAGA